TGCATTTAATTTTTTTTTTTTCAGACAGTAGTTTCCAGGGAAGCCAGTAAACGGGAGGGAGTTCCACAGTCAGGAAGAGTGAGAAAAGAAACTTTTGGAATAGAAGTAGCGGTTATATTTAACCATTTCAACAGTAAAAGGGTGGGACCTAGATGCCAATCTAGTAGCACACTTAAATTAACTGGGGTAAAAATTCATCAGAGCAGTTTCCATGAAAATATTTGTAGGAAAGACAAAGGGAAGCTACGTCACATCGTTGAGAAAGGGATTGAAGTCGAGATGCCAAGGTAGGATCTATTAAATTGCAGATCCTTCTTTGGATTTTGTCAAGAATCTCAACATGAATATCGAGAGCGCCAGACCCGAAATGGCAACAGTATTCAATGCACGGTCGAATTGAGAAATGTGTAAGATGGACACTGACGAGAAAAACCTTCTAGCACGACACAACTAAATTTCCTTGCGTTAGATGTAGCTATTGATTCACTGCAGTTGTTCCACTTCAAGTCAGTTGAAAACGTGGGGTCAAGAAGGCTTAACGACGGGCTGGGAAGTTTCTCTGTGGTGGTTAAATGTGAGCAGTTTAGTTTCAGAGGCATTAAATTTTACAAGTCATTTTCTGTCCCAGTTAAGCACTGATTGGGGGTCTTTTTCAAGAGCAGCGACCGGGTTAATTTTGTCGGCTCTGTTGCAGTTTTTTGTATATATTATGTACTAGTGAGCCAGTCCAAATGACTTGACTCACTTTATAGCCTACCAATCAGAAGACGTAGAATATTCAATCCGTCGTGTATAAAGGCGGCCATTTTGTTTACCCTACCCGAATGTCAAGTTCCAGCTTGTCAAGCGAAGAGAAACAGAAGGACGAACTACGCTCTGCTACTTTTACCGAAATATTCACTGCTAACCTCTGGATTCTATACTCGAAGACGACCGTCATCATGAACAACAGGCTCTGGCGGACTTGCTATTGAGACAGGAGTAAATCGTAGTGTCATCCGCATAAATGCCAATTTGGGAACTGATAATATCTGGAAGATCACTGAAGATCAGAAATAGCGTAGGACCCAGAATAGAATCTTGGTGGACACCCATGTTCGTGTGAAAGGATCTGGTAACGGGCCCATTCAGAACGTCCTTCATTTCCTGTAATACCGCAGCCCTGACGTTTGTGTAGGATACCAGCATGCCAAACCATATCAAACGCCTTGGAGATATCTAACCCCACAGCTCTAGCTTGGCCGTTATTTTCAAGAGCTTGCTATACATATTCAGTGATGGCGGTAGACCGGGCAAAACGGAAATCATATTGCTTGTCAAAGAGTAGGTCATGAGAGCTAAAGTGATTAACCACTTCAGCATTGATTAAAGCTTCGAATACTTTCCCGTGAAGAGGCAGGAGACGATAGTTAGAGGGGTCGGAAAGTTCTTCAGAGTTCTTAAAAACAGGAACTAATAGAAGGACTTCCAACAAGCTGGAAAACAGAAAGCAGCGAGGCAATAATTGTAGAGTTTGGTGAGAACTAGAGCCAACTCAGGAGCAAATTTCTTTAGGACGACGACTGGAATCCTGTCATCTCTACTTGCCTTATGGAAGTCTAATTTAGAAATAATGTCCGAGAGACACCTGTTGCAATCGGGTGTGTCGCTCTGGTACAGGCAGAAGAAATGCATGCGGTTGAGAACCAAGGAGATTAACGCAGTTTAACTTGGTATTTCTTTGCTGGAATGAAAGCATCGATGCCGGCTTTTACCCATGAGGATACCTCAGACGCGCATTTCTGTTTGAAAATTTCATTCCAAAGGACATCACGAAGAAAATCATGGAACGAGTCCCAATCTGCTCGTTGATAACAGAAAGATATTCCGTTAGTAGGTGGCTGAGTGGAAGGAGATATTTAGAAACACAACCGCGTGACCAGAATTGCCAAGAGGGCAGAGTTGCGTAGTACAGCAAAAGTCAGGGAGAGAGGTAAAAAAAAGAGATCGAGAAGAGAAGTGTGTCCGTCAGGGGTACTGAGAAAACACGTTTGGGAAGTCAACCACTTGCCTGAGAGATCGAGCGATTGAGAAATCAAGGGTTTTAATGCCAGCGAGATCAAATATATTTGCAAACGGGTGTAAGGAGATGGTTCTGTGTGTATTATGAGAAATACTACCTCGCACTCAACTGTCTTCAGCGGAAGGCGAACAGTAAATAAAAAAGAGATAGCAGACTGAGAGAGAGAGAGAGAGAGAGAGAGAGAGACAGACAGACAGACAGACAGACAGAGAGAGGGAGAGGGAAGGAGGGAGAGAGAGATATATATATTTAAGAATGGTTTGGAGATTCAAAAGACAGTTTCCTAGCCAGCGGGAGATGTTCTCGGACATAAACTTCCAGGCCATGCATGTGGACATGAGAATTCTAATGAAAAACTTGCCGGTCTGAAAATAAGCGAATTTAATCCCGCTCGAATGAAATGAAATATATTTGTTTTAATTTAATATTTTTTCTTTCTTCTCTACAATGTCTTCCTACCTTTGCTTGAACGTTTATTTATATTTTTAATTTTGTATATATATATATATATATATATATATATATATATATATATGTATATATATATATATATATATATATATATATATATATATATATATATATATATATATATATATATATATATATATATATATATATATATATATATATATATATATATATATATATATATATATATATATATATATATATATATATATATATATATAGTTTTTTTTGTCTTTTTGGGTTTAATGACCGTGGATTATAATGAACGCAGTTTGAAAGAGTTGGTATTCGGACTTTCTTTTTTTTTAAAAAAAAAGCAAAAAAAGTCCATAAAATGTAGGACGGACCGATAAGCCCCCCGCCCCTTAAAAAAAAAGTTGTAGGGTTTGAAGACCATAGCTACTATAGCCAACACCTCCCCATTAATCCCAACGCTATGGCGTGTCCCAGAATTTGTTACTTTTGGTCAAAATCCCCGGATGAAAAACTTGCCAATCTGGAAATGGGCGCAGTCAAAATGCAATATTCACTCGAAAAAATAGAGAATTATTCATACAATTCAAAATATGTTTTAGATTTAAATAAACCAAAAAGGGATGATAATCTGTAAAAAAAAAAATAACCCAAATCCAAATCTACGGCCTTCTCATTCCTGTGGGAGGAACCCCTTCCTGCTTGACCATATCTTTAGGGTAAATTTACTATTTAACGCCCAAACGCCCGCGGACTAAATATTTTTCAAAATTTTCACAAATTGTCATAATTCCGTTTAAATGTTCATGCTGAACTCGAATTAATAATTAAATTATGAAGAAACCTACCGTTTTTGGAGTTATCGACAAGAAAAAATCGGACTTCTTGTTGGTCGTTCGTCACCCATTACTGCCATAACGTTCACTGATTCAGTGCCCTTTAGTACATCCGGTGGCGCAAGATTAAATTTGGGCCTATTTACTTACTTAACATAACGTTTCCGAAATCAATACGCACTACCATAAAGCAATCTAATTTTTTTTTTTGATAAGTGTAGTTTTACTTAAAATTAAAACAAATAAAACAAAATTGACATATTAAAAAATAACCGTAAATCCTCGTTTTTAAAATGTAATTTTATTTTCGAAATTAACTGTCTCTTTACAAAGTTTGCGCATTTTTTAATTTGTCATTATTTTCATATATTTGAAACTCTTACCTTGCTCTGTTTACAATTTTTGATTTATTTTCAATTTTAAAAAAATAAAAAATGCTTTACTGCACTACTTAATTTGTTCTTTTTGTTATTTTTTAATTTGTCAATATTTGAAATTTAACTTTCTTCTTGTTTTATTTTCAAAAAAATTCCTTTCTAGCCTTTTCTTTACATTGTAATTTTTGTTTGTTTTAATTTTAAGTAAAACTACACTTATCCAAAAGAAAATTACATTGTTTTACGGTAGTGTGTATTGATTTCGGAAACGAACTTATGTAAAGGAAGTAAATAGGCCCAAATTTAATCTTGCGCCACCGGATGTACTAAAGGACACTGAATCAGTGAACATGATGGCAGTAATGGGTGACGAACGACCAACAAGAAGTCCGATTTTTTTCTTGTCGATAACTCCAAAAACGGTAGGTTTCTTCATAAATTAATTGTTAGTTCCAGTTCAGCATGAACATTTACACGGAATTATGACGATTTGGGAAAATTTTAAGAGATATTTAGCGCGAGGACGTTTAGGTGTTAAAAAGCAAATTTACCATCTTTTGCGGTGTAACTGTATTCAGCACACTTGACCAATTGCGGGTTGGTGACGTTATTTAACCGTGAGTTGGGGCGGATGGCCGTTGACTCTGAGGAGTTCATCTGCCCTTAAACAAATCAATCAATCTATAAACCAATCTACCGCCAATAATATATACTGATAGGACTCCTACTTCGTCTTGCTTATAAAGGTTGAATAAATTCGGTGTGTGCACATTTTTCTGTCGTTTGGTTTGTATGAGTCTTCATTCAAAATATTAGCTTTATATCTGATCTTAAACAATGTCCTCTAGAACTGGCGGGAAATGCAACTATTTCGACCACGAGGCATGGCCCTTAGCCTTCTATTATATTTCTTGTTTTCAGAAACGAAGCCCTTCGTTCCTTTCCCAAAACAAAGACTGTTCTTGACATTTATGCAAAGTATTATTTTTGCCACATAAGTCAAGACAGCATGACGCTTTTCAATTTTTGACAGAGGCTGGCCCGAAGAAAAGAGTCAAGTTTGCAGCGACATGAGGACAGGGTGATGGGATGTTTAGAGGGGAATTTAATTGCATTTATATAAAACTGGATGTCGACAGATCGTGTGTAAAACGAACTTGATAAGGCAAAATCTGTTTTGAACAAAGAGTTTCAGTCAGTTTGTACGCATCGTCTATAAGCATGTTCGCGTATGTTTCGCTTGGGTAGAATCAGGTTTTACAAACACGATCTTTTTCACCGATGATTTTTTTTCTTAACATTCTTTCTTTCTTTCTTTGTTTCTTCCTTCCTTTCTTTCTTCCTTTCTTTCTATACCTTTCTTCCTCTCACTCTTTCTTTCTTAGAAAAATATCTTTCTTTCTTTCTTTTTTTGTTCATTCTCTCTTCGTTCTTTCTTTTTTCTTTCTTTCTTCTTTCTTTTTTCTTTCTTCTTTCTTTTTTTCTTTCTTTTTTCTTTGTTTCTTTGTTTCTTTCTTTCTCTCTCGCGACACTGCTTTATTTTTCCTTTTTTCTTTCTATAGTTTTATTTCTTTTCCACATAATATATTTTATTTTTATTTCTATATCTTTCTTTCTTTCTTTATTAGAAAATATATTTCTTCCTCTCTTTTTCGTTCATTCTTTATTCAGTTTTTCCTTCTTTCTTTCTATAGTTTTCTTTTTTACCTCCTAATTATATATTTATTTCTACATATTTCTTTTCTTATCTTTCTCTATTTCTTTATTTCTTTCTACACTTTTCTTACTCTCAGTTATTCTTTTTTCCTTAGAAAATTTTTTCTTTCTTTTTCGTTCATTCTTTATTTTTTTTTCTTTCTTCTTTCATTCTTTCTTTCTTAGAAAATCCATTTCTTCTTTTTACACATTTCTTACCTTCTTTTTTGTCTTCTTTCTTTCATATGCTCGATTTCTTAGAAAGTTTCTTTCTTTTTTTACTTTTCTTTTTGTCAATCTTTTCTTTCTTTTTCTTTTCTTTTCTTATTTTTCTCTCTTTCTTTCTTACGCTATATTTCTTTTTTTAGAAAAAATATTCATTTTCATCTTTTTCTTACACTTTTCTTTTTCTTTTCTTTCTTTTTCTTTTCTTTCTTTCATCCTTTCTTTCTTTCTTCGTTCGACGTATTTTCGCTTGTTTTGCATTTTTCTTCCTTGTTCATTTAGTTCTTTGTTTTGTTTTCATCAAGAAATAATAATTCAAACTTGAAACTTTCTTTTCTTTAATCATGTTCTTCTTCTGTAAAAGAGAGGAAATCTTTTTCCTGCTTACTTTCCATCCTTCCTTCCTTCCTACCGGAGATTCAAAATCAAGTCATAAATACACAACTTAATGACATTTTTATCTTATTCTCAATTTTTGTCTTATCTCTTTTTTTTTTCTTTCTCCGTCAACGTTTTTTATTTGCCGTATTTTCCCATATTAAAGCCTAGAGGTCAACAATCTAAGACTTAAAACCACTTTTATTTATTCACATTCTTGTCTCCACTCTCCAAACTGCAAACTCTTTCTCTCTCGTCTTTTGCCTCGTGTCGGCCGTTGTTGACACTTGGATTGTCATGTCACGTCTGCCATTGTTGAAGAAGAGTGCTAACGCGTTGAATTGAAGAGATTGTGGAATAATGCCTACCAAAACAGGGGATTTTCACTGGCGAGAAACGACAGTCTACAATGCCACCCTGCGGTGGCATGTCACACTGCAGAGAGGGCGCGAAACTGGTATTTTTAGACCAGACTCCTTAATCTCACGTCTGCTTTCTTTATCCAAATTGTGTGCAACATCCCGACCCCACTCCTCGCGAAACTAAAAAATAAAAAAATGAAAAAAATAATAATCCCCGAATGAACAAAAAATTCAAACATTTGCATTTGAGCTTTAGAGATTTTATTTTTTTAATATTTGTTTTTTTGTTTCTTTTATCATTTGGGCGGTGGGGCTGGTGGGTATTGCCTTTGCTATTTCCGTTTTTAGTTTAATTTTTTATTTTTTAAAATGTTTTCACTTTTACTTTTGTTTTCTATTTTCTATTTCACAATTATGATTCTTATTTGCCGTTTGAATATTTTCTTCTCATTTCTTCAATTCCTCCATATTTTTTTTACATCACCGACAGCTCATTCTCTCACCTTCATTTTCATTCGCTTTATTTTTTATCTCTTGTCCATTTCCGCTTATTCTTCTTTTACTTTTGTCATTCTTCTTCTTGTTCATTCAACTGTCTTTTTCGTTTTTCATTTTCTTTATTCAGTCTTCTTATTTTTGCTTTTTGTCTATCCATGCTTCATCTTCTTGTTTCATTCGCGCGTCTTTTTCTTTATACACTCTTTTTCTGCTTCATTTTTGTTCGTTCGTTCGTTCTTCAATCAGGCCACTTATTCTTTATTCAACCTTCTTCATTCAGTTTTTTTTTTCATCAGTTAATTTTCTTTCTTCTTCATTCAAGGTACTTCTTCATTCAAGTTTTTTTCTTTCTTCATTCATATTCCTTTTTTTCTTCATTCACACTTTTTCATTGTTCCCGCTTCTTCTTCCTTCAAACTTTTACTTTTTCGTTCCTTCTTCTTCTTCTTCTTTGTTCATGCTTCTTATTCATTTTCTTAATTCGGCCTTCTTATTTTTCTTCTTGTTCATTCATCCACATTTTTTCATTCAAGTTTCTTCTTTTCCTTTAATTCCACTTATTCAATTTTCTTCATTCACCCTTTCTCTACTTCATTTTCTTGCTTTCTTCATTTAAGCTATTTTTCATTCTACCTCTCTCTTCAGTTTTCTTTTTTCATCAGTTACTTGTTTTTAGTGCTTCTTCCTTTCATCATTCACCTTATTATTCCTCATCCACATTTTTCTTCTGTCCTGCTTCATCTTTTATTTCTTCATTCACGATTCTTTTTCTTCGTTATTCACTGTTTTTACTCTTTCTCCTTTGTTATTATTATCTTTCCTTCGTCGTTTTTCTTCTTTTTCTTTCACTCGCTATTCACCTTTTTTCCCGATCATCTCCTCTCTCCATTTTTAATTTTTCTGTTCTTCTTTTTTTCCTTTTTCCTTTCGATTTCCTTTTTTTTTTAAAATATCGCTTTGTTGCTATTGTTCATCTTATTTTTTTTCAATCAACTTTTATTCTCTTTCAAATTTCTTTCTTTTCATTTGTCTTCTATGTTCTTTTTCTTCTCTTCATTCACCCGCTTCTTTTTTGTTTTACCTGCTTTTATTCTTTCCTTCTCCTCTTCCTTCTTCTTCGTTGTCATTGTCGTTGTTGTCTTATTTGTCTAATTACTTTTTGCTCCCTTCCGACATCTTTCGCCTCGTTATTATCGTTGTCGTGTCCTTTTCATTTTACTCCTCTTTTTAGTTATAACGTTGACATATGAGATTGGAGTTACTATCTGTGTACAGATTGATACAGGCGGGCTCTATATAAACAGAAAATGAAGTATAAAAAATCAAAATCAATTTAGAAAATACATTTTTGAATTTCACATTTAATGAAGTAACAAAGATCACACTTCAGTTCCTCGTCCGTATTCGATAGCGAGTCTGTTTTATAAACTTTCTGAGTGAAACATCCTTATTACCAATTACCGAGGGATTTGTCCTCGATGGTCAGAACTTGTCGCAAGAATGGAAGAGTCAAGGTTGCCATGTCAAGTCTTATTCAGCGAGCTCACTCCAGGGAAAAGACTACGGGGTTGTCCTTTTCGGCGATACAAGGACCAACTCAAAGAAACGCTGAAAGCCACTAGACTTGAACCTAAATCGTTTGAAACACAAGCGCAAAATCGTACCAACTCGCGGTTTTGTATCACCATTGGGACCAAAAACTTCGATGCCACCAGAAGAGTAAAGAAATCAAGCGACAAGAGAGAAAGGCTTGACAAAATTATACCTGTCCTCCACCAATATTATCATGCAGTCAATAACATCGGCTCTTCCATTAATTCTAATTAGTCACTAACACCATCATCATAAAAGAAACAAGCAGCAAAGAAGAAATTAAATTCTTGAATACGAAATAAAACAGCATCAGCAGCCGACGACGACGTAAATGATTTAAGGTAAATCAATCCTGTGGATGCAGCAGAGCAGTCCTTTGCTGTAAAGGTTTTAGCTGGTGATACTAAAGAATCGAGCTTGGCAGGACATTTACCAGGTCAATAAAGTAGCCACGACGTTACATCTATAGTAAAGGGGCTGTTGGCTGGAAAATAACTTACACCCCACCACAAAACCGCGTAAACGCTTTGAAATCTTTCAATGATTGAAAGTGAGGATTGAGAAGCTCTAGCTTAGATATGGCAGCACTATTTCATTTCTGGTTTAAATCATGGCATCAAGATTAAGTACCATATTTTGTTGTGTATAATTCAACCCCATTTTTCTGAAGCTAAAAACAGGGAATAAATTACATCCCTGATTATAATACGACCCCATAGTACAGCCATATCTATGTATCTTTTTAACAGTTGTACCATGTTATCCATTAAAATCTCAATGTCCTATATATATTTCAGTAAAATATTTAATTTTTCATATATATTAAAAAATAGAAATGAAGCAGATGTTTAGTCATCGTGTGTGTATTCTTCTATTTCCGTTTCAAAACTTACTTTTGAATTTTCGGCGAAAGGTGCTTATGTCAAAATATTAATATTATCAAAACATGACAGACCTTGTGTATACTCTTTATTTTTTAATCAATTTCGCCGAACTTCCTGTCTTTTAGACAAAAGACGTTCAATTACGATAATTTCCAATGTGAAGAAGAAGAGAAATAAAGTGTTTAGTAAAGTAAGAAACAGGCAAAAGTTGACTATTAATCACGTGTCGTAGAAGAACAAAACACAAATATTGCTGTCATACCAAATACCTTTTGTAAACGTCGACCTACTTTGTGTTTTATGACCCAGTGGGCTGACTGAATATATTTGCAATCTTGCTGTTTTAAACAAGAGGTTTTTTTAAGCTGAATAAAAAATAAGTTCTGAAAAAGTTTACATATGACCACCCTTACCTTGCCTTTAATATTTGGTCGAATTTCGCGTAATATACGAAAGAAAACTCAGTACCTGAATCCATGCTTTATCATTAAAGATTAAAGAGGAGTTAGCGACTTTCTGGTGAGATATCAAGAGCCGACCATTTTTTCAGCATCATTATCAATGGGTTTTATATATAAGTTCAACTTGAAGTTTGGGATGAACTTGAGTCCTGTGGAGGTATATTCACTGGCACCATGTGATCATAAAATTAGGCTAGTGTTCACGAGTAAAACAGTACAAACAAACGTAGACATTAACAATAAGGAAAACATGGTAAATTGTATAGTAATTTCGTCCAGTTTTATTTATATATTTGTGTGTGTGTGTGTGTGTGTGTGTGTGTGTGTGTGTGTGTGTGTGTGTGTGTGTGTGTGTGTGTGTGTGTGTGTGTTTTACGCTACAACTGTGATAATGTTCATGTTATAAAAGTGAGTAAGTCATTCTGTAATATCCCCAGTCCTATCACAGTCTGGGGAGAATTAAAACACGTGTTGTCATCCCGACAGTTCTTGGGCAAAGAGATTGAATCTTACGTCTTTTGGCGGGATGTCCGTATTTCCGACAGGAACAGTTTCTGTTACTTGCTCGAAGTAATTTTATTATTTTTATTTTATTTTATTTACTTATTTTAAACGAGGTTTAAATTTTATTTCATCTTATTTATAATTTTCATTATTATTATTATTTTATATTTTATTTTTATTAATAATAATAACAATGTTCCACAGTCCCAATAGACATTCAAGGCATCGGAACGAGAAAATGCATTTCACTGCATTTACTGCCATTCAAAGGCAATTTCGATTAACCAAGTTCTGAATTCTGAACGATCTCTTACTATACAACGCTACATCAAATGGAATACTTTGAAGAAAAAAGTATTTTTTCAGGTATTTTTTATTGCCTAACTACCTCTTGCCTCATGTTTGCTTTTAATTTTCATTCAAAATTTCACGTATTATACGCAATAAAATACAATAGCTGACCCCATGTTTTATCTTTAAAGATTAAAGAGGAATTAGATTCTGCCTGGAACGGTACAAGAAGCCGACCATTTTCCCCTGCATCTTTAGTAATGGATCGTATATGCGAGTTTCACTTGAGGCCAGTGGGGTGAACTTAAGCTCCAACAAACGTTCAAAGTGAAGAGCCTAATCGAGAGAGAAACTATTTCTAATGGGATAAAATTCAAGGTCTACTCGGTGATGAGAAAACGTTACTAACTTCGTATTGAAGGTAGTGAATGTCAGAAGCCAGTTTCCGCCATTGTGTTAGGTCAACGGAAAGATCAGATACCAGTCTCTGGTCATCTTGATTTCTGGACGTGTGCCCATAAACTTTGGTATAATATGCATAGATATGTAATAATGACCTCAGAACGTTAATGGATAAATCGTTAATATAAAGCGAAAGATGTAGGCTTGTTTAGAGAGATGTATGACGCCTGATCTCATGGGCTTCAGAGTATTAGCCATTAACAAAGACTTTGTAACTGGGTGATTTGTTGGGTTTGTTAATGAAAGTTGCCCGTGTTATATATATGGTCGATAGATGGTTACTTTTCTCTCTTTTTTATACTGAAAATGAAGTGAATAAGTACAACAATAACAAACAACAATGAGACCTTGAGACACGTGTTGAAATTAATAACAAGAATCTGTATTGTTCTTTTCGTGAATGTTATTTACATTATTGGTTTTGTGTGTGTTAAATGTTCTCAGCGATATTTTCGCTTTTTGTTCCTTTAAAGTTTGGAATTACTTGCTTATAACTGTTCTGAGAATTTCGTGGTTATGGGAAGCTTTTAAAACCATCAACTCAGGATTTTCACGGAGCGAAGAAGAATACATCTTGTTCAGTCTGTGTTGTTCTTTTTATTACATCTACTGCCACCTCGCTTTTGGGGGAAAGGTTGTTTGCTGGTGAAGTTTCAGATCTTTATTTCTAGTATGATGAAATATCATCATGAATTATCACTGGCGGAAAAATTGTTTTTAGAATGATGAAATTTCAGATCTTTATTTCTAGAAAGATGAAACATCATCATCGTCATCATGAATCATCACTAGCGGAAAAATTGTTTTTAGAAGGATGAAATTTCAGATCTTTATTTCTAGAAAGATGAAACATCATCATCGTCATCATGAATCATCACCGATAGAAAGGTTGTTTTTAGAATGACGAAATTTCAGATCTTTATTTCTAGAAAGATGAAACATCATCATCGTCATCATGAATCATCACTAGCGGAAAATTTGTTTTTAGAATGATGAAATTTCAGATCTTTATTTCTAGAAAGATGAAACATCATCATCGTCATCATGAATCATCACTGATGGAAAGGTTGTTTTTGAATGATTAAATTTCAGATCTTTATGTCTAGAATGATGAGATATTATCATCATCAAGAATCATAACTTACACGGACCTACCTGAGAGGCAGGGCTTGGTAACTGCGGAGTCACTCCTTGAGATGATGAAGAACTTGTGGATCCCCACCATGCTACACATTGTCAAAAGTCTTTGATTAACTTACTACTGAAATTCAGAGAATTTGCTGATAACACTAAGGTGGTTGATGGGGTGACGTTGCGATGGTGATTCGTGAAAACAGGATGTGCGGCTGGCACCTTACATGGGCTTGGGAAGCATTTCTCCTTCAAGTAAACGTTAAACAACTTCGTCTAGACGAGTCAAACAGGGCATGACACTTGTCTAATTTTTGAAGCTAAGTTCATGGCAAAGAGCTTAGCCTTATCCAAAGTGAGACGAGACAACGTCAGGGCTATTTATAATATTAGGCACTTACAGCTTGCTTCAATTTGAATCATATTCATGGTTTCTCAAACGTCTTTTTTCAGCTCTGGTTTGGACTGGCTGTACGACGCTGATCATAGCATTTTTCATAACATTCTTGCAATGATTACGGGCCATTCTGAATTCGGCGAGAGTTTTGTTACACTGTTGACGGTCAGCGATGTTAGTAGTGTTTATGGTAGGTACCTCCACTTTTTCGGCATAGATTTTCGATACCTAAGGTTTAAAATGATTTTTTCTTGAAGATTTAATTTTAGCATTAATTGATAGGATTAATTCTATTATTTAATAAAAAGTAAAATATTCTGTTGTATTTCAGTAAGTAAAATATTCTGGTGTATTTCAGATAGAAATTATATAGATTGAAATGTCAAATTTAATTTCAATTTCTTAAAATTTTCTTAATTTAAGAAATTTGTAAAGAAAACAATTTATCGATTTTAAAACTCCTCCATTATATATATATATATATATATATATATATATATATAAAGT